GTTTTATTAGGTGTCAGTACATGGAATCAGGACGCTCTTAAAGATGATTTTAAAACGGAAGAGCGACATGTGGGATAGGAATATGTTCTTACGATTTCAATTTCCCAGCTTTCTCCGTTGCTGAGTTGAAAACAGTTGACAAAGTACATTCGTCTCCGAACACACACGCGCAAACACACACATACGCACACAGATGGCCCCTCGACGGTATGCGTTTTTGTATGCTTTTACAAAAGAAAAAACGCATATTGGCGAAAGACTGTTTGTGTGTGTGCATGTGTGCTTGTGTTTTTGTTACCAACTTTCAGCTCGACAGCTGGAGAAGCTAGTAAGCTGAAACTTTTGGATCGTGTTCCGACCCAATTCCAGTCTCAACATTCACTATGCTTAGGTACCAGCTATGAGGGGCGAAAACGTACATTTTCTGGTGGGAAAACGATTTCGGGAACAGACAAAACAGAAAGCTGAAAATTTACACTTGCTCAGTGGTCTTGTATGAACTAAAGATTTCAAATTTGCGATCACACATTCCTAATTTGTGCGCACTGACACGTCAAAGTTAATTCGAAACAACATTGGCAAAATGCCAACTTGGAGACTAGCTGGCTAGAATGCTGCAACTTTATGAGTGTTTTTCATTCCCGATCATGGTGGCGTAAAATGAGCATTGGCGCATGCTTGTGTTGCGCATTCGGATACGGCAAAGATATTTGTTGCGAAAAGCAATTTTGCCAAGGAAATTGAAATTTTACGCGGATTTTCTATGCCTATGTGTGATTTAAATATTTCAAATTCAGTTTTAAAGCCCGCTTAAGTCTAGCGTCCGTGCTGCAAAGTTTTTGATTTGGAACACTGCTGGCGTTCAACTGACTTGATAACCAGGCTGGGCAGAAAATAGTATTTATCTGAGAACGTTTACTGTTCTTTTGGGGATCAGCAAGCACGAAATGGGCTCTAGCTTACTCGCGCGCCCCACATGCAAACTTTTCAAATTCTCAACTGCACTCTGCTTTCTTCTTACTTCCTCGGCGTTCAGACAAGTAAGAAAGCTGAAATTTTGTGAGAATACTGCCTGTTTTCTGTGTGGGGATGAAAAAAATGATAGCAGTTGTCACGCATGCAAGCGTCTCGCTTAGGAATACGGTGAATTCCAGGCCGTAACAACACATGGTCGCATCGAAAACCTGATACGCATTGCTTCCTGGGTTGCATTTGCACAAAATGTGAAAACATTTGACAACTGAACTGCACAAAAACCTAAGCTGCAACGCACCAGGCTTGCCGTGCGATCATGCTTTCTTGAGCTAAACTTCAAGCAGTTAAGTTGTTAACTGTATGAATGATAGCCGCTTTACATTTAACTTGTGCCTTGCATTAAATTTAAATTTTGCATGTAGGAGAGTGATTAATTTCCGATGACTAGTGCTTCGTTAAAAATAACCTAACTGTTCTGTTTTCCAAATCAGTAATTTTCCCACCAAAACTTGTTAACCAGACGTGCTTAGGAGCTAAGGTTGAAATCTTGAAATAGTCTGTGGACAGAGAACAGCCTTTTAAAATTTCAGCTTTCCATCGTTTCTGTTTCCTAAATTGGCATTTCTCTCACCAAAACTTTTTGTGTCCGTGCCTGGGCCTCAGGCACTTGAAACTTGACACCATTTCCCTGCAATAGCGCTTG